GGGAGTAGCAAATTCCAAAGTGTTTTTCAAGACAAACGGATATGCAATGCTTATTTCCAAATTAGGTGATCTAGTCTATACTTGTTTGCCGTGTGCATAACATTGTAATTCTAGGCTAATAACCGGTATAAGAACTCACAATATTTTCAAAAATAGATATCATGGTTAGTAGAGGCCGATCTTTGATCGGGTGAGCGGGGGTGCTCACGAAGTGACCTTCCCCAATCGTGCCTAAGTTCCCGAGCCGAGGCAACTTTGGTGATGATGGACACGTGGCCTTTGGCACCGAGTCAGGGTTTCCTAAATTTCCCAAATAAAATATTTAGGTGGCGACTCTGTATCTGGCAAAGCAATCCATGTTTGACACTTTTTTTCGAAAAATCTGTTTTCTCAAAACGATTTGCCGGATTTGGACTCTTTGGTTCAAACTTAGAACCGTGACAAATTTGAGAGTCCTGAGCTGTAGTGACCCCAAAATCAACAGAACGGGAGCTCACCCTCCCGGGGCGTTCGGGGGACGTCTACAGTCGGCCTGGGACTCTTTGAATTGCTGGGCTTTGGCAAGAATGGCCTGATCCTCTACCTCCTGAACCCTTCTCCTCGCCTCCAACTCCGCTCGGTCGAGGTCCCCATTACTTGGCTTTGGCCCCAACCCCGCCTCAAACAATGCCGACGGCTGAATGAGCTCGTCCTATTTGGCCTTTTCTTTCTCCCTCCACTCCTCCACCCTTTTCACCCTCCCCTCCGCAACTGCCCCTAGTTTCAGCTCCACAGACCTGATGGGTACTTTCCAAATGGTGCACGCTCCAAGCCCCCCATTCGCAAACACGTAAAACCATCACGGTCGCCACCCCTTGATCGACGACGGCAGACCCGCCACCAACCCCTTCCCCACCGCTGCCTGTAGAGTGAACCACGTCTCCTGCTGCCCCGATGCCTTATAACACGCAAAGAATTCGTCTACCATCATGGCCTCCCCTCCATTTGCCTTCGGCCACGCACTGGCACAGGCCAGCAGGATCTTCCATGCGTTAGGCATTAGTTGCCCCGGTGCTACCTCCAGACGGTTAAGCACATCCACTACCACTTGCAGCAGTGGCAACCTCAGTCCACCCTTCAGAGCTTCCTCATAAAGGGAAAACTCCCTTGGCCTGGCGTTAGACGACCTTTTCATTGATGTCGGTAGCAACAACTCCACTTCCCCAGGGATCTGGTATTTTTCGCGGATAGCCCAATTCTGAGTCTTTAAACGTCTCACCACAAAAGAAACAAGACGAGAACTTCCAAGTCTTGTTCTTCTGAGCAAAGCCTATAGCTTCCGAGAAAGCCTTTGTCGCTAAACCATCCTTGAATGAACTAAAATGGTCTCTCAAATCACGAATTCTGAGTTCAAGCAATCCCCGCTTTTTCTCGACACTCATAGAGTTCCAATATGATTTAAACTCATCCATTCTTTTCAATGATGGCATCATCTTCATCAGGGAAGCGTACTTCCTTCGGTCATCATGTTTGGTATTCTCCGAATTCAGATCAAGTCCCGTTTGCATGGATTCTAAATTTTGCTGCATAGCCACTTGAACCTCGATTTCCCTTCTCCGCTCCTCAACCGTTTTCACTACCTTTTGAATTACATTTGGCCTCCTGGTTTCAAGATTCTCTGTCAAAGTCGAAGATGAAGACGCAATCCTACATTTCTGTACAAGAATCTGCAATGAATCCCTCGTATTCGCAATTCGCTCTTCAACGGTGGATACATTTAATTGGCTCGCTGCTACAACCATTTCTCTGCCAGGGTCGATCGGATTCTCAATCGACAACGCTCGCTCACACTCTCTCGCTGCTTCTTCGTAGCTATTGTCATCACAGGACAGTCGGTAGAGTAAATTCGCGTAAAAAGTAGCGTATTCTAACGAGTTTGGCGATAAAGAAACCGCTCGACGAGCCGAATCCACAGCGTTTTGCAAGTGGCGTAGCTTGGTGACATTGTCATCGATTAGAGAAGCTAGTTGACAATGTGCATAGCCTTCAACGCGGTGAACGAAAGGAGAGTCCTCGTGGCGAAGACACAGGTCTTTCAAGATCCGTAGGGCTTTGGCGTGGTTTCCACGCTCGATAGCATTGATGGCGCGCACGCATTCAAGTTTGATTGCATCGGGCCCGGGAGAGTGTGGATCAATCTTGCTCTGTTCTTGAGAGAGATCGTCGCTGAGATTGACACTTGATGATGCTCCGCCGTCCACGGCGGCTCTATCCTCCGTCGGTGGTGGTTTCGAGTGCGGAGGCAGGTTTCGCTTCTTACGCCCCATTGGGAGATTCAAACTGAACTGAAAATAATTGAATACGATAATTCGATTATGTGATTGATTAGCATCGGATGTTTGTTCTTGATTATCAGCTTTCAAGATCAGATATATATATATATATATAGGATTTTTGTAAGTCAGTTATCTGTGGTGCCACGGAGGCAGGACCTTGGAGGGAAAAACATAAATTTAAAAAGGAAAATAGCAATTTAGTGAAAAAATAGTGAATTTTTTTTTATTATAAATAATTAAAATTCTAAATATTATCATATGTTTGTAAATATTTTTTCAAAAACTCACTGAGCTGTTATTCTCCCAATTTAAAAAAGAGTACATAAATTTATTTTCCGAAAACTACTTCAAAATATTCGCATATGCGTATTTTTTGGATTTTTTAATCAATTTTTTTTTTTTTTTCTGTGTTCGAATGGAGGGAAAAAAAAAAAAAAAAAAAAAAAAAAAAAAAAAAAAAAACAGCCCAAAACGATATCGTTTTGGACTGTCGAGCCAAACTCAAGCCTTAAAAATCGCGCTACAAGACATTTTCTAATAATGTGCAATTACTCAAAAAAGAAAGTTCAAGGATAAAACTTTTTTTTCCTTAAAACGGAGGGAGAAGAATTTATTCAGCCCCTATGTCTAATTCAAATACGATTCCTTGATTGAAATAGTGAAACTTATTGATTTTGATTGGTGATTGAAAAAAAACAAAACACTTTAGTAATTAGTTGATGGCGTGGCTTATTGATGTCCATGCAACATCAAATTTGATTTTTCAACAAGGACAGGTGTTTCTTGCCAGTTGAGAGAGAACGAGCTGTTAAGAATTGATTGTCAGTGATATCAACGTTGCGTATTTAAAGGAAAATGTTTGGGATGCCAGACTCAATAACTTTTATTGATATATTAATTATTAATATGTTTAATTTTTAAAAAAAAAATTGTATTCGACAATAATATTAATGGTTTAAGGTCATTTTCGAAGTTGTGGAAGTTGTGTTTTTATGGGAGTCTATTATTATTGATATTTAAAAATAAATATTTATAGGAACAATGACATAGTAAAAAATTATTTATAAAAAATAAAAAAATCATAATTATAATTATTAATATTTATAATATGTTTTATTATTTTATAAATAACTTTCATTGACATCATATCAATGTAATTCCATATTTATAAGTGATGTTTCATGATAATTATATTTCATCATATATAAATATACTAAATTATTTATAATTATTATATTATTTTAATGAATCACATTATTTATATATATATATATATATAATCAATATAATAATGACACATTATATTATATATAAAATGTGATATATAAATATAATTATTTTAAAATTATTATATGTTCTTAAAATTCGTGTACCTGTTATTAATGTAATTTCAATAATATAGCGTAACGCCAGTTTTAAAACATAAAAATATTGAGGCAAAATCATACGGTTAAGATTCGGTCATAAAAATATTGGGGGAATCCTGCATAGATAATTTTGGAGCAACGCTAGGATACACAAAATATTATAAAAAAAAGTTCATTAACCACTCTGTGAGTCCACACCCATGTAAAACTCATAATCATAATCATATTTACTCATGTAAAATTCACAATCATATATATATTTGGCAAGATTTTTAATAAATTATTTAAGGTCTCTAATATATTTACAGTCATCACTTCTATAATATCTAATCTCAAATTTCAATAAAAAAATTTCAAAATTCACATCATAGATTATGTCTACAGAATTTTTGTTGGAAAGATAATGAGGGAATGCTGCACTAACCTATTGCCCAAAGTAGAGTGCAATTTAGTGATGATTTCTTCTTCTTCAGAAGATATGTTGCCTCTCTTCAAGTCAGATCTCAAGTAGTTAATCCATCTCAGTCTGCAGCTTTTCCCACACCTAAGTAACCCTTCAAAACCATAAATAAAAAGTATAAGACTCATTTCATTTGTTTCTTGAAAGATACATATACATATGTAAGTTTGACATAGTGAAATGTAATAAGAAGAGTAGAAAATCTCACCAGCATTCTTGGGCATAGACCTCCAAGAACCTTCCCCATTAGCTTGAATGTACTTGGTCAAGATCTCATCTTCTTCTGCAGTCCATCTCCCCCTTTTCAACCCCACTTTCTCACAGCAAGGTGCTCTTCCCATTTCAGTCTAAAAAAAACACACACTTGATCACCCAACTCACTCAAGGTCTGTACTCCACTCTTCAGATAAATGGTAGAAGAGAGAGAAAAATGTAGTAGAAAGAGAGAGAGAGAGAGAGAGAGAGAGAGAGAGAGAGAGAGAGAGATACCTCAGTGGAGTAGATCGATCATCGTTCAGTGCAAGCAAATCGTCGATCAGAAGTGTAGATCGTCGGTCGTTCAGTGTAGATCGTCGGCCGGAGGTTACCGTCGGACGGTAGGGTAGGGTAGAGAGAGAGAGAGAGAGTCTCAGCGTGTTGGTCTGTGAAGGAATTAGGGCCAATTCTAAACAAAAGGGGACTGATGCGTGTATAAATTTGGGGGAAAAAAATGAAGGAAAAAAGAAAGGCATGGGCGGGTCGGGTTTGCGGAGTAAAATGACGAATCACCCGCCACTCGACCCGAACCCGAAAAATCACATAAATTGGGCCCGCATCCGCCCGCCACGTGGCATGTATCCATCCGTTGCGGATCGGGTCAGGTCGGGCAGGTGTGGGGGGGGTTCAGTGGATCCGCTGCATAGCCCTACTCAAATATGCTAAGAAATGAACTAGAAATCATTTAAGCATGATCAAATTCAAAGTAAAAAAACTTTACAAAGAAGAAATAGAGCAGTATATACATAGATTTAGACATATATATGTATATAGCTTCTATCGGAAAATGAAGATCCACGGAGAGCGACAACGTCAAATTTGTTCAGATTGAGGGAGGTGGAGGTGGTGGTAGATTGGCAGTGATGACAGATCGGGGGTGGCAGAAGATGAAGAGGAAAGAGAGAGGAGGAGGAGAGAGAGAGGGTATGTTTGGATGCAGTGGAGTACTGACCAGAGAGTTGCCGCTATGATGTCGTCCATGGCTGATGCCGCCATTTGAGAGAGGAGGCAGCGGCGGCGCTCGTCAGCTGCGATGGGGAAACTTTAGAGGCTTGCAACAAAGGCGGGGGAGGAAGTTCACATTGGAGATCTGAGATCGGAAGCGGCGGGGGTCTAGAGTTTGGCTTTGGACTGATGAGCGGTTGTGGCGGAACGACGGTGCTGCCGTTTCGGCCGCAACAGGAAGGGGTGGCGGTCGGCCGGCCGACTCTTCTAGCGTTGAGAAGAGCCACCGGAAGCGTAGTTTCCTCCTCCATCAGCACCGCGATATATATAGAGAGTGTGTGTGTTTTAGAGAGAGAGAGAGAGCAAGCAATGGTGGTGTCGGCAGCGATAGTGGTGGTGTTGGCGGTGACGGTAGTGATGTCGTCAGTTGAAGAGAAAGAAAAAGAGAAGAGAGAGAGACGTCAACTGTGTTAGTGCTTTGTTTAGTAAATAACATATATATATATATACAGAGGGGCATTTTGATTATCTTGTTTAAATTTGTCATTTTGGATAAAATATTTGAATGCCTAATAAATCTTTTACCAAATAAAATTGAGATTTAAATTTATGGGCTGTGTCTATTATTATTATTATTATTATTTTGGGTTGTTTTGAGGTGATGGTTAAAAATTGATTTTTTTTTTTATTTTAAAAAAAACATATAAAAATATAAAAAAATGATACGATTCAAAATAAATTAAAAATTGACTTTTGATTACTAACTCACTTCTTTTGTTTTTCATGGATGGTATTATCTTTTGAACATTGCACTAGTGGACAGTATGCATGTGTAAATTGTTTGATGGGTCTCCACCAGTTTACATGATTAGGATACTATGTTAAATTAGCCTTTTTTTTTTTTAACCTGTTTTGTTGAGATTTACAGATTAGGATAATGCAGGACAAGTTATTAAAGATATTTGTTTCCTTTTAGTCATGTGATTTTACATTCTCCTTATTCGACTACTAGTGTATGCCCATGCCTAAAGGTACGGTGGAAATAATGTTGGGATTAATCTTCTCCAATCCAATCTTTTATGTAGTACATGAAAAATTTATTCACAAAATAATTTCAAAGAAAAATTGTTCCTTTCTTATAGCATCACTGCTATACTTACCCAAGCTATGAATCTTTCTTGTTCTAATTGAGGAGGTTGGTCTCATTTGAACTTCGGCTGAAATTCAAAAAGAATATAATCTCAATGATTGCAATATTAACAAACCATCTCTCATGTCAACTATTGATAGGTAATGTTTAAAAATAAAAGGCATAGAAAGAAAAATCGTGCACTGCCACTCACCCCCATTGTGCAAAATTAAAGTGTATCAAAGCCCAAAATGTAGCAAGAAAAATGTATCAATTAGTTAAATAAAATATATGATTAGCAAACTCATGAACATATTACACTCAAGTCTCAGTGATATTGTAGCATTAGTCAGTTACAACACTCATTTCACTTTCCTAAGCTTAAGTCTCAGTGATATTACACTTCTCTCTTGCTAAAGCTTAGTTAATAAACCAATTACAGAGAAAGAGAAAAATAGTAAGTTAAAATAGAAGAAACTAAACCTTAATCAACAAAACCACCTCTCTTTGGGCGATCAACAAACCCTCCAATCAAGCATATATGTCTATAGATTACGCCAATCTCAAAACATCAAGCACCATCTATAATAGTTGCAAAAGCAAAAATCATCAAGCACTAATTGAAAGTTCTAAACACATTATTAGATTTCACTAATGTTTATAAATGCCTCACTCCATCATCAAGCACTAATGATTCATCAAATATATTTAATTTCTAAAATTGAGAATGTCAGTCTTTTAGAGACATGGAATTCAGCACTTAGGTAGATAACTTTTCAGGAAGCAATTTGTCTCACACCATTTTATTCATTTATTTGCACTTTTTGCCTCCCTCTATCCCTACTCTCCCTCATCCCACACCCACACACCCTCTGTGTTTTTTAATCTATGTAGCAAATATTTTATGCACCCAGACACATGTGGGGTTCACACAAGAAACTACTATATATCAAAAAAATGTTTCAGAGACACATTCATATATAGAGGGAAAAAGAGAGATTTACTGGCCAAGAAAAATGCTCTTTCTTTGATAACCTTCATGGATATCTTTGGCACCACAATGCAAGGAGCATCCGTTTCAAAAATCTTCAAACCACAATCTCAAAAGAAAGATTTCATAAACTCACAATTGAGATTCAATTGAGAGCATTCAAACTATTTAGAAGTAATGCAAGCAAAACACAAAAAACTGCTACTCTTTTGGTCTTTCCCAAAAACAATAAATAATAATAAAAATAATTAGCAAATAGAACATTATCCAAAAAATAGATAAATTCATAACCTCAACCCAGTCAAGCAAAGGGGAACTTTTTCCTCACCCCAGTCAAAAGTTTAGCAAAGGGGAACTTTTTCCTCAACCAAAAGTTTGATCATTCGATTAATCTCCCCTCGCCATCCATTCCTTGTGAATTAATAAACACATCAAACACATCAAATAGAGAAACAATTTATCAAGCATTTGGTGAACATTGTAGGAGCAGAAATTATATAGTGGTAAAACCAATTATTTTGAACATCAATTATTGCAAAACTATACCCAAATCTTTAGAATGGAATGAATAACAATAAATTTAATTAAAATAACAAGAAATAGGTTGTAATTTATTCCAAGTGACTTAAGGAAGTTGGTCTTTGAACAATGGAAATCGAGTAAAAGATTAAATCATCAACTTACAACATGAATGTACAAAAAATAAAAAATAGAAGCAAAAAAAGGGATGGAATCTTGATTACCTCTATTGATGGAGCCTTTAGAACTATTCTTCTCACCAAATTCCGATGGCTCCGTCACATGTACAAAGCATTAAGAATAAAAACATCAGCCTTACATGAATTTATAATTTCTCTACAACACTCCAACTCAACAAAAAATTGTGCATTGAATTTAGGAGAAAAGATCTTTCATACTTAAAACTAATTCCCTAGATAACAACAACAACAACAACAACAAAAAAAAAAGAAAAAAGAAAAAAGAAAAAAAGAAAAGAAAAGAAAACTAGAACAATAAGGCGGGTATGTCCAACACAGATGAAGGAGTTGAAGGGTTTGCAGAATTCGAAAGGAAGATTCATCTTAATTTTATATATATTTCAATAATAGCAGTAGTAGCAAAAATAAATCTATAAATAAAACTAACAAAACTCCACTGACTTATGGATAAAATGTTAAGGGGAATAAAGAGATGTGAACAAATAACAAAAGAGGGAGGGAGAAAGTCAAAAGATGGCATATAGTAATCCTAAAGACCTTAAAAAGGTTGGGTGAACCCTTTTCCAATAGTAAAAAACTAAAAAAGAAAGTCAAACATTGATTTTAGCGAATCGAATCAAATCAAATCGATTCACTTCACGATTCACCGATTTCGTTCACTGATTCACCTACGATTCTTGGCTATTTGCGATTCATACAACCTATTCGTATTGATTACCCACTGAATTGAATTGCAAATCGTATGATTCTAATAACAGAGATTTCAACACATTTCATATTCATATAAATGAAATCAAAACCATAAAGAAACACAAACAATTATGCCCAACTTCTTTGCACTCCTCTTTTAGTTATCCATAAAGAAATTGAAGAGAAAAAAAAATTCAATCAACACTACATAAACAAACTTGCTAAATGGTAGCTAAAATGACATGACAAATAATAGGGAACTAATAATTAGACCAAGCAACCATATTACAAAACAAATGTGCTTAAATAAGAAATGAGTATATATGTTTTTATCATTTATCATTTTCAGCAACTTAGAAATGATAATATTAAATTTTAAAAAAAAAAATCATAAACTAAAAATAGATTGAACAATTTTATTCCAATGGAAGCCAAGCATCCTATTAAAGAATTAGGATACCTTTAATGGGTTAACACCCATTGAAATGCTACGGACAACCGCTACAAAAAAAGAAAAGAACAAAAAAATCAAATAGCTCCAACTATTCAAATCCTCCCATAAGCAAAATATGAACCAACCCTTTTGGATCCATTTGGTTTGCTCATGGGAAGCAGCCAACGCACATGGGAAGCAGCCAACGCACTGCGCCACAACAAAAAACAAAATTTGGATTCAAAAAAAAAAAAAGGTAAAAACTATTCCACAATATTGATATTGATATTTTGCACTGTTTGAATTAATATGAACGCCGAAATTGCTTAAGAGGTTGACACACCACAGCTATGTAGTGAAGAAACAGCTCATTTTAAGGGAAAAAGAGAACCGCTCATCAATTGATGAAGGCATTGTTAAAATGTTGATGAAATTGTTTACCAAATCAATTGACAGAACCCAAGACATGAAAGAAAGCATGCCCACAAAAACACAAAAGCATGAGAGAGAAAGAGAGAGTACCCAAATGGAACTTAATTTAACAGTACTAAGAATGAGAATAAAGGAAAGACTTACTGGAAGAGAGTAGTTGGACTAGAGAAAACTTGTAGCTCTCAACTTTGGTCCTTGATGGACTTTGGGGGCCTACAACTCAAAAAATAAAATTAAAAGCATCAGAGAGAGAGAGAGAGAGGGAGTGGAAGTTTTAAATTTTTAATCTCAGGCAAATGAAAGTTTCAAATGATCTTAATAAATCCGTGCCTATGTCATTCCAAAGAATAGAAAATATAAGTAAACAAGCTCCAAGCTCTAAGCTCCATTATCCCTCGTCCAAAAATTGCCTACTGTTTATTATAAAAAATAACATCCAACTCCCACGGTTTGTATGCCCGATTTGAATATACGTCTATTTTTGCTAAACCTTACCACCATACACTACATTTACTTGGCTTGTTATAATAGATTCACTCACTATTTGAACAACAAAAAAGTAGAATTATATAAGCAGTTGGTTTAACCAAAAGAAAATAAACTATTTTAATTGAGGCGTTTTACCGAACATGGTGTATGCATAAAGACACACAAAATATAGAGGGGTAAAGAGACCGATTTTAATTGAGGCAATATAAATGAGAAACAAATCACATAATAAAAATGAGAAACACAATCAAACCCAAATGACAAACAAATCACATAATATAATTGAGGCCATTTGATTACCCCCTAAAAAATTACACTCTTGTTGCATATGTTAGACACCCAACGAAAACCCAAATAAAAATTTTGAGGCATTTTGGAGACCCATTTTAGAAAAATATTTCAGAGGCCTATGTAAGGCATTTTACAGAACATAGTGTATGCATACAAAGAGACACACATAGCGATCCCGGTTTTTCTTCCTTTGATTGTTGTATTCCAGACTTAGGTTCCGTGGAGTTGGTAGCTGTATATCTTGTTGTTATCCTTTAATTCCGTGTGTTTGAGTTTTAGGATGTATTGGGTGTGTTTCGAACAGGTTGGTTGAGCTTTAGTCCCATTCCTTGTTGTCCAGATTTTTGGTGGTACACTCGAGCGGGTCCCTTTGCGCTCGAGCGGAGTTTGATTTTTGATTGTCCGCTCGAGCGGGTCTTCTTGCGCTCGAGCGGGATTTACACACTCCCAGCATTTTGTGCCTTTGCAAAACTTTTGCAGGTGCGTTTTTCACGCTCGAGCGGTTTTCCTTACGCTTGAGCGGGTGTCTTGGTGCTCGAGCGGGTAGTTCATTGTCTGTAAAAGTTCTGGAAGGGGGGAATCTACGCTCGAGCGACTTTCCCTTTGCGCTCGAGCGGGTGTGTTTTGCAGTTGTGTCTTGGCGCTCGAGCGGGAATATTACGCTTGAGCGGGTCCAGTTTTTGTATCTTACGCTCGAGCGGGTCATACGTATATCAGTAGACAGCAGCGGGATTAAACTTTACTTTTTCATCTTTTCCTTTTTCAAAAACCCTAGATCTGAGCTCCCTCTCTATCTAAATAACTTCTCTCTAGGGATTGATCTACTTCTAGTGAGTTTCTAACCTAGACTCTTTGTAAGAAAGATAGAGGGTATTGATGGCTTTCTTTTAATCTGAAAAATCTTGAATTTGGAGCACTTTGGATTTCGGTCATCTCCTCCGTTTGAGCTCTTCATCTTGAGATAGAGATAACTACTCATTCCTATGGTCTTTGACATAAACTATTGGTCTTTTTGATGTAATGTTGAGTAGGGTGATTTTGGGTGTTAGGGTTTCAAAATGTATAAAAGAGGGGTTTTGTATTTTGAGCCTATACATGTGTATTTGAGCCTAGAAATGAGAATATTGGTGTTGTTAATAATATTTGGACCTTTGGGTCAATATTGAGCTTAAAGGGAAAAATGCCATATTTGGGTCATTAGTGTAATTAATGACATTTGCTATGAAATTGAGTTGGGGATAATGAAATTTGCTCATTATGAGATAGAATGGTGGAGTTGGATTTATAAATCGCTCACTTTTGAAAATGTCAATTATATATCTGTTGAAGCATTTATTATCTGTTTAGAAATAACTGCTTTGGGCTATCGATGGAGGATAGTCTTGATTGTTGTAGACATTGCATGATGATTAGATGAATTGAAACTAATCAAGTTGTGTATTTGAATACATGGGTGCTGAATTCCGCGGATGAAATTTCCGTAAAATGGCCATTTGAATATAATTATATATGGGTGTCGAATCCCGCGGACGCAATTTTCGTAAAATGGTAATCCGAATATATCTATACATGGGTGCCAAGTCCCGCGGATGAAATGTCCGTAAAATGGCCATAAGAGAATGAAAATACATGGGTGCCGAATCCTGCGGACGCAATTTTCGTAAAATGGTAGTTTGTAGTATTGTTGGCATGGGATGTAGTCTTACTTCAGTTATTTGGCCAGGTTCTGAGTCATGTTTATAAGTCGAGTTTTGTTAAGTTAAACATTTATCAAGTGCTAATGTTTTAGTTATTGTTCATATTATGTTTAACATATCTCTATTGGGCGTTGGCTCACCCTATATGGGACATCATTTTCAGGTACAGGTGTTATGCCACCTCCAAGGACGTAGCTTGGGAGGCTTGAGGCTGCAGACTCTATTTTTGTTGTTTTGTTGTATTACATGTATATCAAGCCAAGAACTTATCTATGTAGAGTTAGTACTCTCTTTTTGTAACCAAGTGTTGACTTGGAAAGTTGTAAGTCTATAGGGCGTTTACTTTTATTGTCAACATGTAATACCTTTTGTAAGAATACTCTGGTCATTATACTATGAAAACTCTTTTATTTATCGTGAATGTATGCTATAATGGGTTTATTTTTGAGGGCGTTACACATAAAACAAAAAAAGCCCAAAAAAAAAAAAAACTGAGAAACCCTAGATATACCTTGCATTTGATCAAACAGTGCACTCGGATCTCAACAAAGTCGCCATAGGTAAAACCAAGAAAGGAGAGTGGGTAGAAGAGAGAGAGAGACTGAAACAAAACCAGAGAAAAGGAGATTAATAAAATTTGAAACGAGGAAGAGAGAAAGAGAGGAGGACGTCTGTGAGAGAGAGGAGGAGGTGTGTTTGGTACTCATGAGCAGGGATCCAAATAGGCAGACAATGTTATGTATTTGACCCTTAGATTTTGATTAAGATTGATCTAAACCATTGGTTATAAATATATGTAAGACAACTTCTTGCAACGTTGGACAAATTCAAAAAATTAATTTTTTTATTTTTTAATTTTTTTAAAAAAATATAAAAAATAATATGATTAATAAATTAAAATTTTATTTTGACTAACGGTATTATTTTTTGAACACTGCACTAGTGGACAGGATATATGTGTAAATTGTTTGACGTATCTCCACCAATTTTCATGAACGGCATTATCTTTTAAACACTGTACTAGTGGGCAGTATGCATGTGTAAACTGTTTGATGGGTCTTCATCATTTTACATGATTATGATATTATGGGGCAATTTGAGAAGAAGTTAAAAAAAAAATTAACTTTTTAGTTTATTTTTTTAATCTTTTTTACATAAAAGAAAGTCACAAAAAAGTTAATTTTTTTAATACAAAAAAGTTGAAAAGAAAAAAAATAAACTTTTTATCAACTTTTCAAAACACTATTATGTTTAAATTAGGTTTTTTTTTAAAAAAAAAATCTTTTACCTGTTTTATTGAGATTTATAGATTAGGATAATGCAGGATAAGTTATTAATAGCTCGTTTGGGAAGAAAAAGTCCAGATTTTTTTGCTAAAATAACCACAAAAAATAAAATAAATTTTTAGCCCAATAAGACAAAATATCACATCTAACTCATAATCATTATATTTTTCCTCTCACAAAAATCAAAAAAGTCAAAAAAACCCATTCAAAACGAGATTTTATAACACTGAGCTAAAAAAACCAAAAAGTCAACTCACATCCCAAACGAATTCTAAAGATATTTGTTTAGTCCTGTGTTTTTACATTCTCCTTTTTCAACTATTTTATGTGAATTTGCATGTTTTAGCTTTTGTTTGGAATGTGAGTTAGACTTTTTAGTTTTTTTTAGCCCGAGGTTAAAAAATCTCGTTTAAGATAGATATTTTGGCTTTTATGACTTTTATGAGAGAAAAAATGAAATGATTATGATTTGGACTTGACATTTTGTTTTATTGATTTTTTAGCCTATTTTGTATTTTTGTGATTATTTGTACTTAAAAAATTTATGCCAAACATAGCCTAAGATGCACTGCAGAACCAGTTTGAGGATGTCAAGGGTTTTTTTTTTTATTAAAACTTTTTGTATTTTTGCTTGTATCTTTTACCTATTGGAAGACTTTGTTGAATAGGAAACTAAATTGTAATAAATTATCGTTTGTTATAAAATTTAATTTAATATAATACTTAGGGGGAAAAAATTCGACCTAGCAATAGAATTAGGAGCATCCAAAAAAGTTAATATATCTTCTCCAATTTTATGTTGAGATTATTTCATTTTTATCTTTTGTCACAATTTTTAATGACCTCCAGATTATTCTTATTTTCACGCGTACCCCTATACTATTTAAGTTACTATTAATTTTGCTCCTGCCATCAGATTTGAAATGGAAAAAGTTAAAAAAATTACATTTTGGCCCCAAATTTCAAAAGAAAGATGCAGACCCACCCAACAAACTACCACCAGCAACCACTACTTTAAGCACTTCTATCTCCTTCGTCATAACTCCGTTTCGCTTCATTTTTATGTCGTCGAATTCAACTCACGGTCTAGTTTTCATATCACATCTCACACGTCTCGTTCTTCCTCTTTTTACATGCTATCGGAGCTCCAAAATTTGATAAAAAAAAAATAAGACTTTTCTTCTCATTTTCGACTTTTCTTCGAGCCATCTTTTGGACTTCGAATCTTAGGGTTGGTTTGGGAAGTGGGTTAACTTTTTGATTTTTTGACTTTTTTAGCTATTTTAGTCTGAGCTAAAAAGTTTGGTTTAGAAATGGCTTCTAGACTTTTTGACTTTTTTTACTTTCTTTGTAAGAAAAGAGTGTAATGATTATGGGTTGGATGTGATGTTTTATTTGTTGGGGCTAAAATAACTTATTTTGTCTTTTGTGTGGTTATTTTAACCACAAATCTTCTTCCCAAACGGACCCAAGTTGTTTAATTGTGTTTTAAGAAAATATAATGAAATCATGTAATAACAATTATTATTATTATTATTTTATTCTATTTTTTGTATGTGTAGATGATCAGTATTCAGGAGACCTGTAAAAATGAAGAGTTAGATAATTAAAATAAAATCTGTGACAAAACTAACTGCCAATTGGACGGAATTAGACTTCTCTCCATAAAGAAGCCAAATCCTCTTTTCTTCTTTTTGGTTTTTGTTTTTGTTTTTGTTTCTGCCAAAAAGAAAACAAAAATGAAACTTTTTCTAGACGTGAGTTATGTATTGGCACAAGCAGCTTCAGGATGATAATGAAGCATTTCTCTCAACATCAGCTGTCTAATCATACCTTCTCCCATATTCTCATCAATGTCAAGATTGATTTCAACTTGCGCAGGAGGGTTTCGGCTTGGATCGTACAGGCTAGACATGTACGGGTGATGAAGAGCCTCCGTGACTGTGATTCTCTTAGACGGATCAAACACGAGCATCCTCTGCAACAAGTCTACAGCTAAAGGGTCAGCATGAGGGTACAGAGAAGATAATTGGACTCCTCTAGCATACGGAAGTGATTTGATAAACCTCCTAGCCTTTTGACCATCAATAAATTCAAGATCAGCTTCACATTGGCTACCAAGGACGTTGATAATTAGCTTTAGCTGGTTGAGGCACTCGGATCCAGGGAAGATTGGTTTCCGTCCAAGAATTTCAGCAAAGATGCATCCTATAGACCAGACATCAATGGAGGTTCCATAATTGTCACAGCAAAGGAGGAGCTCTGGTGCACGGTACCAGCGAGTGACAACATATTCAGTCATGAACTGTCCGTTGTCTCTGCTAGTTCGTGCTAGCCCGAAGTCGCATATCTTTAGTTCACAATTGGCATTGACAAGGAGGTTTCCGGGCTTCAAGTCCCGATGAAGGATATTGGCTGAGTGGAGATACCTCAATCCACGGAGCAACTGGATTATGCAATGCACATCAGTAAATTACGGTAATACCATGATATCAGAAACATAAAAGCAGTGAGCTTTCATCACTGTGTTAGTAAATTATGTCATGATACGATGATTACTAATGCATAGACTACCAAGTCTCAGATTCAAATATTTGGCAGCTTGCAAATGACAAATCAGTTTAGAGTTTACAGGCAAAATGAATTACTCATTAACATTGTTTTGCTTCGAAAGAGTGGACTTACACATAGTAATGATAGTAATAATAATGGAGTTCATAGTCAGATAGCTCTTAGTATTGTGAAAATTATTTTCAAGCGAATAGATGAAAAGAGAAAAGTCGTGGACTTTCGATTTCCTATGACATGAAGGATGGGTGTATTGGCATGAAGGATGGATGTATTGACTCTATAAAAACAAATTAAAAGGTAGGTAACAATGCGTGGAGAGGGAGTTGTAGTTTTTACATTATGAGAAAACAAAGAAAAATCAAAAGATGGACAATTGAATGAAACCAAAATATAATAATAATAATCAAAACCAATACAAAATGTTGGTGCAATTACTAAAACAAAGGTTGCCTGAAAATCTAAATAATATACAACAAAATAATATTGGTAAGATAAATTCATTGCTCTTCAAATATTATATTTGAAAAATGTTTGAGACCTTCAAAAGATATCCACAATTTCACCCACAGTAACACCTCTATATGTATGTGGTAAGATATCAAACAACAGTTGCAGCTCATCATCATCATCAGTGTTACAGCTGCAACCGCATCATCAGCTCAAGCCTATAGTTGGTAAGAGTTTGTTAGATTATGTGTGTGTATGTCAGTTAGTTCAGTGGAGGTAGATTAGTTGTAACTGCCTTATGTATATATACATATCATGTAAAGACTGTATTGATCTACTGTGAAATGAAATGAATGAATGTTGAGTTTCTTCATGGTATTAAAGCATTGAGCTCTAACAAACATAGTGATTCATGGCTTCAACATCCACCATTGTTGCACTTTCAAGCTTTTCAATCTATTCGATTCATTCAAATCTTTCCTTGTTAATTTCCAATTTGTTTTTGTTTGTCACTGTCACACTTGATGTAACAAATTTTGTGATCTGGAAAGCCCAATGGCAGAATAGCCTTCGAGCTACGAATCTCCTTGGTTATGTGGATGATACGATCTCTTGTCCACCATTAACAATCATCGATGCTTCAGGAAAAAGTGTTTCTAATCCTGAACGAGTGCAATGGAATATTGTTGATGTGTGAGTTGTATTACAGTAACTCTTTCTCCATCTATCTACTCTACTGTGCTACAATTTCTCCATTGCTCTGATGTGTGGTTTACTTTGCGTAAACATTACACCTCTTTCTCCAGATCTCATGTACATCAATTGAAGTACAAATTAAATAATGTCTAACAAAACTGAGTCAATGGTTGAATATCTTGCTAAGATCAGAGAAATTGCTGATAAATTAGCACTTGTTTCGGTCATGATTGAAGATGAGGATTTAGTGTTAACCACTTTAAACGGATTACCAAATGAATATGATGCGTTTGCAACTTCCGATCGAGCCAGATCAGGTTTTATTACCATGGAAGAAGTGTCATCTCTCCTTTGTTCTAAAGAAATTCATATGGAATCCAAACTCAAGAAACCTTCTTCTTCTGAACCTACAGTTGCTTTTGCCTCTATTAAAGGCACTCCATCTGATTTTCAGTCTCGTGGTTCTAATCAAGCTAATTTCAGAGAAAGAGGATCATATAGAGGGGGCAAATGAGGTAGATTTCAATCCCAAGGTTGTGGCAACAATAGAGGTTCTACTTCTTCCTTTCGAGGTTGAAGCAGATCTTCTTCTCCACAATGCCAGATCTGTGGTGGTTTTGGTCACATAGCTCTTGATTACTGGTATCGTATTGACTCTTAGTTTCAGTTCTCTTAGTCTGTCTTATCTCAGGCTCCTCAACAATCCAAAGCATTTGTTGTTTTTTCTGGCCCTGTTGTTTCTGGTTCATCATCTTCACCAATGCTAATGCCTTGGTTTCTTGATTCTGCTGTTACAGATCACATCACCAAGGACATGAGTAATCTGAGTTGCTATCAACCGTATCAAAGTACAAATCAAATTACCATTGGCAATGGCAATTCTATTCCCATTCAACACACTGGCAAGGGTATTTTACCTACTCCTCACCATTCTTTCCAATTAAACAATTTTCTTCACACTTCCTCTATTTTTTCAAATATGATTTCTGTTCAAAAATTAGCAAGGGATAACAATTGGTTAATTACATTTGATGATGCTAATTTTGTTATTTAGGATAAGCATTCAAAGAGAGGGCTTCACAAAGAACTAATGACGATGATCTCTATTATTTCCTTCTATCTACTGCTGCACCTTCATAGGCACAAGCATATTTTAGTACTAATTCTAGTTCTTCTTCAGCTTCTGTGTCTAAAGAAACATGGTATAATAGGCTTGGTCATCCTAGTTCTTTGAAATTTCGTCATCTTAAGAAGCATTTGTTTTTTGCTTCTAATAAATCAGCATATCAAGATTGTATTGATTGCTGTGTTGCTAAAAGCCATAGGCTTCCATTTCAGTTGTCTAATTCCACTAGCAATCAATCTCTTTCTTTAATTCATACTGATGTATGGGGACCTTTTCAATCTACTTCTCCTTACAAGTTTTATGTTCAAGTTATGGATGATTGGCTTTATCCCCTATCTTATAAAAGTGAAGTTTACACCAAATTTGTGGAATTTAAAGCACATGTGGAAAAACAATTTCGTACTTCTTTACAGATTCTCAGAACTAATGGTGGTACTGAGTTTCTTAATAATAAAATGAAACATTTTCTTGCTTCTGAGGGCATTATTCATCAGCATTATTGTCCTTATACACCACCCCAAAATGGTGTTGTAGAGAGGAAGGATAGGCACATAATTTATACTGCTATTGCCTTATTGCATCATGCTTCTATGTCTATTCAGTACTGGTTTGATGCTATTGTTGTAACTACTTTTGTGATCAATAAAATGCCTTCTTCTCAGTTAGCACATCAGTCTCCTTATGAGTTGCTTTTCAGATCTGTTCCCGATTATTCTCAGTTAAGGGTCTTTGGCTGTCAGTGTTTTCCTTGGCTCAAACCTTATGTCTGTCATAAGCTTCAACCCAAATCTCTCTCTTGTGTCTTCTTAAGCTATCATCCATTTGTCAAACGATATAGATGCTTGGATCCTCTTACAGGTCGAGTGTATTTGTCTAGGCATGTTCTTTTCAATGAATCTTGTTTTCCCTTTAATACTCTTTCTCAATCTTCTTCTTCTTGTTCTTCTTCTTCTAGTCTATCTTCTTTACATCAATTTTCTAGTCTTCTCCTTGTGTTTCTCAGCCCAGTTCTTCTCAGTAGATTTTTTCACATCCGCAGTCCAATTTTGCCTCTCTGTAGCCCAAATCTACTCCTCTGCAGCCTAGTGTCACGCCCCGAGAATTTCTGTGACACGAAGAGCAGGGTTTAAGGTGTGCCGAATGTCACACCCCAAATCTGGGCATGACCGGCCGTGGCCCACAGGGACTTAGCCCAAGGCACACGTAAGCCTAAACATGAACCCAAAAACCAAAAACAATAAATGTGATGATAGCCCAGAAATAAATAAATCAACACTCAATCCAGTGACATACCACAAGTGAAAACAAGTCATAACCAACTTCCTAAAAATATATATATACTAAATGGAACACAAACCGCCCACAAAATAAAATAATTCTAAATAAAATCCAACCACAATGTATGCACAAAACTCGACAAAGCAACCTAAAACAAATTAAATAAATGCCCTAGAGGTCCATGCAATTGAGTCCCCGCTACGCCATGAATCCACTCTAAGTCCTTCTAACACCTGGAAGTGATAAAAACTAAGTCAGCTGATAGCTTAGTGAGTAGCAATATGGATAGTAAATACAGTTTTGAAAACAGGGATAAATTCCAAAAAAAGATATATATCACAGAAACTAGATTGGCATACAGTTTAGTAAATACAATCTGTTTCAAAAAGAATGTTTCACAATTCAACACTTAAAATACTCATGTCTCGCAAGAACATGATAAACGACATTTTCCACTCAAAACAGATTATAACATGAACACCAATAATTTTCTGGGTACCAAGAAAAACAAATAATATGCCACACATTTCTCAGGCTATAAGCCCCGTTGGATCCAATACCGAACTAAGAGTCATCCTCAGGGTGGCACCTGGGCCTTTTCTCAAAGACGATCCGAATGAAGGCCACCTAGCTTTCTTTTAAGGTCTTTTCCTTACAATCGTTGAGCACTAGAGTCATCACGGCCCAACCCGGATAGGTTCCCTAGTGGCCAGAGTCACCACACACAGTGGAATAATTTCCCTGCACTAAATACACACATGGTCCCAATAATCAATACACATCAGTTTCGCAAAACATGGTAGTTCATCATTATAAACATGAGACCAAAACAAATAGTTACTCTACTCTGAGTGGACGCACTAACCGTGCTACCTCTAACCCCAATGTAGAAGCAAATGCAGTAGATATAAATGAATGAGACGCACCCATGTCTATCAATACATTAGCCAAAGAATTACACACATGTAGACACCCCATTTTTGACCGTCCTCAAGACTTGGACGTCACCGTTTGAACATGTTCGAACTTACAAGGCCTTCAAATGTGAGAGGCAACCATTGAGAAAGAAGTGCCTAGTCGCTTTATCTTGGCCGCTGGAATCGGTGAGCTAGCCGGCGGGTGTGTGCCGGAAACCTCTCCGATGCCTAAGTCAGAAAACTTGACAAATAGACAAAGCTCTATGTTCTCAGAAATAATTGTGTTCAATTTACCTCCTCCAAGGTGATGTTTGTGAGCTTTTATAAGTTTCCCGTGGCACAATCTTAGTGGGACTTGTATTTCTCCATGCAGAGTCCTCCTGGGATTCATACTCCTAAGGATAATGCTTATCCTTTTACACCCTCCCCCACTGCTTA